AAAAAAAAAAAAAAAAAAAAAAAAAAAAAAAAGGTTCTGGAGGTGGGTTGTATGGATGGTTGCACAACAGTATAAATGTTCCTAGTGCCATGAACTATGCACTTAAAAATGGATATGGGGGGTGGAGTATTTAGCTCAGTGGTGCCGCCACCTGCTTCGCAAGCGCAAGGTCCCAAGTTCGATCCCGGGTACCAAAATAAATACATAAATAATAAAAAATAAAAACGGATGTGGGGTAAAGTGGTGTTATCTATACTTCACCAAAATGTTCTTTAAATGGGTGGTAAGTCACACTCAGAAGAAGTGAGTTTCTTCCCCAAATCCCTGTTTATTCTGAGTTTCTCTGCGCTGTTCTGGGCCAGGTCTCTCACAGGGTCAGGTCTGCACGTCCGGCTGTCTCTGAGAGTTGTGACCCTTGAGGACAGAGGCTGTCTTCATTGTGTGTCCCAGCTGTGTCCCTCGGACTTGGATCCCAAGGGAAAGGGGTGGGGACAAAAGGAAGAGGAGGGAGCTCCAGGCAGTGGCGTCTGATTCAATCACACAGTGGCAGACTCTGTCATCGTTTTCTGGCTGGAACTGTTAGGAGACTTAAAGAAGACTTGGAATTACTGAACAAGGAAATGATAGCTGATCAAAGAAAAAAAAAGGGCTTGGCCCAGGGTGATGTCACTTAGGCTGGAAATCATTTACTTGTTGCATTAGTGATGCAGTTTCCTCCAGCTGTGTTTGATGGTGCGCAGCTACAAGCAGAAAGCAGAGTGGCCAGAGATTCAGAGTCAGGGCTTGGTTGGGTAGTCAGGTATGAGGACAAAGAAGAACATCAAGAGCGCTCATCATAGGGACTGGGGATTTAGCTCAGTGGTTCTGCTGCCTGCCTCCAAGAGCAAGGTCCCAAGTTCGATCCCCAGTTCCCCCTCTCAAACAAAAGTGCTAGTAATAGAGTTGCTTCTGTGCTTAACTGTGAGATCCAGCCTGAGTAAAAGGAAGGGGAAGCCAGAAGGCTGAGTGCATTAGTCAGTTTTACATGCCTGTGACAAAATACCTGAGAAAGTCAGCATAAAGAGGGGAAATTTTACTTTGGCTGACAGTTCCAGGGGTTTCAGTCCATGGTCTTTTGGTTCATTGTTTCAGGGCCTGCGTAAGGCAGAGTTACATGACAGAACAAAGCTGCTCACCTTATGGCAGCCAAGAAACAAAGGCAGGCAGAGGAGAAAGGGGAGTGGGACCAGATGTAGGTCCTGAGGTCACAGCCCCAGACAGACTCATTCCCTTCAACTAGACCCCACCTGCTAAGTTTCCCTGATGCCATAAAATTAGGGATCCATCAGTGGAGTCATCCACTTCTCCATTTAGAACTCTGTGACCCTATCACCTTCCAAAACCTTACTTCTGAACACATGAGCCTTTTGGGGAGTGTTTTAGTTCCAAACTGTAATACTGGGCAATGTCAAGGACCTTGTCGTGTGACGATAAAGGAGATTTAGTGAGAATTAATGAGGAAACTGGAAGAATATGAGCTTGGACTTGGAAAGCTGGGACTTTGGAGGTGACCTGGTTCCAGGAGAGGATAGGTCTGATGTATGGCCCAGGAGTGGGTGGCTAAAAGGAATTGTGACAAAGGGGGATGATACGGAACTGACCAGGCAGTGTGGGGCCAGGTAATCAACAGGCCATCCACAAGGGGTGGGAGCAAGTCTCTGGAGCTCAGAACCTGGCTGCACCTCCCTGCACAAAACACCCAGCGCACTCTTCCTGTCTCTGATCTTCCTAGGCAGATGGCTGCTCGCTGCAGGCAAGAGTAGAAATGGCAGGAAGTAAGAGATGGGCACTTGGCAGAGGGCCCTGAAGTTGCAGGGACAGACATACCTGTTGGTGACCAAGGCCTGTGGCCAGCAGGTGCATGAGCTCAGACTCAGACCTTTAGACTTTTTATTTTCAATATTTGGTATTTCTTTTGTGTGATATCAAATGCTATGAACTGAAAAACAGAGATAAGACTGTATTAAGCTGACTTTGTTCTGCTCCAGAAAAGAAACAGCCTGAGTATCGTAGCTAAGAAAGGAAATCTTCCAAATTAGGACTTTATGCTTGAGCTGAGAACTAACAGATTAAAACCCTGAGACCTGAAAGGTAGGCTTAAGACTTACCTTCACTTCAACTTTTTGATCACTTAAAAACTCTTATTCAGAGCATTTAAAACTGAAATAAGTTACATTTTTATTTGGTAAATGGAAGAGACATTTGAATATCTCCAAGAGACCCAGAAGTAATTTTATTCCTCATAGGTAATCATGATGACAGTAAAAAAAAAAAAAAAATTACCCCTATGCTGTTCAAAATGTGCCTTAGAAGACAAGAGTCTCCCATTGAGAGTCCTGGCTATGGACGGTGGAAAAGGGAATGAAAACTGACACAAACACGGGAGAGGTTTAAGTACCCAATCAGTGGGGTCTGAGGAATACAGAGAAGGGACAATCTACAAAGGATGCCTGACTTCGGGCTTTAGGGACTGGGGCGCAAGAGGGGGTCGTGTGTCCTTTGACACTGTAGACACAGGATCGGGGCAGCAGCAGGAAGGGGCACCATTGCTTCCTTTTTCCTGGAGCTGGTCTGAGGTACTATGGGCCGGAACGAAGCGAGTTGGACCTCCAGAGCAGGGGAGGGGCTGGCCCTGACCAGGTAGACTCAGGAGTCACTGGCAGATGGGTGACACTTGCATCCAGAAGAGTGAACATGACTGCCCAGGGCTGGGGCAAGAGAGGGAGGAGCAAAGGGCTGACCCCAGGGCCCTGAGCAGAAGACGGGGTAGGGGCAAGGGCTCCACACCCGTGATGCCGCCTTCTGCTGTTCTTCTCTCTGTGAGGCCAGCCTGTTCCAGCAAAACCGAGGACAGGCCTGAGGTGGCGCCGGCCTGTGGATTCCCACATAACCGCCAGTCCTCGCACATCCTCGTGGCGTGCTCAGGTCCCCAGGTCTTAGCAAATTACTCCGAGGGCTCCCCATGCACTCCTCAGTTCCCCTCCGCCCTTAGCCACTCTGCTGCTGCCGCAGGTACCAGACATCCACACCTTAGGGTGATAATACCAGACTTTGTAGAGCCCTGCATACTTTTCGCATGAACTTTCAAAAAATTATCTCTCACACCAGTGCTGTGCATTAAGAATAATTACCCCATGTTATAGATGAAGAGGCTCAAGGAAGACAATTGTGTAAGGCCTTACGGTCATGAGCGATGGAAATGGAACTCAAAATCAAATGCGAAACTCCACACCCCACTGACTGCTTCTCTCACACCAGCACACATTAGACGCGATGACACTGGGTCCTTCAGGTGGGACCACAGTGGGCCGCCTTGCTCCTTGGATGGTACAGAAACCAGATCAGAAGGCCACCTCCCCCCAGGGCTTCCACTGGCATGAAAGTCAAAAGTAGGCAAAACCTAACAAAATATCTCTTAAGGATGTGTCCGTTTGTGGTAAAACCGGAAAGAAATGCAAGGCACTGGTCAACGTAAAATGCAAAGTGGTTGATCTAGAGACCCCAGGGAGGTGCACACCAGGCTTGAAAGGTGCTGGTGACTTTGTTTCCCAGGCTAGGTACCTGGCTTTGTGAGAATCGTTACACCAGACATATATGGATGGTAATGTCTGTATATAAACCTGCAACACAGAGACAGCTACCCTGCTGCTCTAGAGATGATAAGGTGTTTGGGGGAGGAGAGGCCAGAGGCTGAGGAAACTGGCAAGAAACACGGTGGGAGGGAAGGAAAATAAAACCAGTGTCTAGATCCTGCTTTCTACAGCCAGACAGATGTGCACTGAAATCCTAAATTCAGGTCTCTGGAGTTCAGTAGGTAGGATCTAACCTCCCAAGGCCTCGATTTCGTCAGCTGTGAAGCAGGAATAAAAATAGACCCATCCTAAGGTTGTCAGAAGCATTAAGTGACATAAAATATGTAACACATAGGAGAGTGCCAGCTACCTAATTCCTGCCCTCCTTCCTTTTTTTTTCTTTTTTTTTTTTTTTTCTCTCTTAACCACACCTTCCCCTTCCTCCTACCCATGCCTTCCTCCCACAGAGCAGGCTAAAATCAGCCCAGTTGCTCTTTTTCCCATTGAGTTGTTTATAAATAACTCTGGCCACCTGGGAGCAGAGTTGGGAAAAGGAAGGTTACTGTCCTTGAGTTTGGACATGGACGGGGCCTGTGGTGCCAGGTCTGTATGGCCTGTGGTGCCAGGGCCTAAATAGTTCATGCTCAGGATGCCTCTGGTTTAGAGGCAAACACCGCGCCACTGGTACTTTCTTCTAATGCCGCAGGAGTTTTCAGCCCCGACCTCGCAGTTTGCTGTCAGCTGACGGACAACTCTTCCTCAATTTGTGGTTCATCCCCCATCCTTCTGAAGTGCTGCTTATGTTCAAAACTCTTCCAGAAAAGGTTTGTATTTTTTTGTATGCCAGAACGAAAACTAGCTGTTTCAGCTGGGTGTGGTGGTGCATGCCTATGATCCCAGCACTCAGGAGGCTGAGGCAGGAGGATTGCCATGAGTTTGAGGCCAGCCTGGGCTACATAGCAAGCTCAAGTCCAGCCTGCACTGCAAAGCAAGACCCTCTCTCAAAAAACAAAGAACACTGGCTGTTTCCTGTGACTTGGGTTCAATATATCAATCTAAGAGGATTCCTTGTATATTTTTTTCTTCAGAGACATCTAACAACTGAAATCTTCACAGCTTCTAATACTTTCCCCTGATTTGTTGTAATTTCTCTGGGGTCTCATTATGTCATGAGTTCTGTTTTTGCCTGGTCATTAATAAATACTAATTTGGGCTTCTGACACTCTTTCCTAATCCTCATTTCCTCCCAAACCCTTCAGCAAAACCCACGCTGCTGCCCTGTGGCTGATGAGAGGTAGGGGTCATGCTGGTAACACCGCTGTCGCTGGTTTTCGAGGGGTGACTGTAAGTACCAAACTTACAGACAGAGGGCAGTATCTGTAACCATAAGAAAGGCAATCTAGAAACACAAAGCAAGCCAATCGCAGTGATTTCGAGGCCGACCTGGGCAACATAGTTCAGTGCCAGCCTGCACGACAAAGCGAGACCCTGTATCAAATAAATAAATAAACCAAACACAAAACACATAAGCACTTACTAAATAAATAAAAAGTACAATGTTGAGGCATTTGAGGAATATTCTGATTTTTCTTCCTAAGTGAAAACCTGTTTGGCAGTAGATATCTCGGCTTCGCTGACAGGCATCCACTCGGGACAATGTCATCTGAATGTGGTCCCTGCTGTCAAATTGTTTGTGACCTTTGTGACTTATTAATGGCCGTATTAGCTCATTGATTGCTTTACTCCCCCACAGGAGTAAGTGCCCTGTCCATATAACCCTGGTTTTGTATAGGTTTGCTGTTTTCTTTTGCAGATATTATCCTGTACACACTGTGAAAAGGTTTATTTAAATACCGCTGGTCTTCTGTACCACAATCTCCATCTCTATGGATTCCGTCAACCACTGATGAAAAATCTGGGGGGAAATATTATGTCTATAGCTAAACATGTACAGCTTGTTTCCTTCCCTGTCATTACTTTCTAAGTGACCCCACGGAATAACTATTTACATAGCATTTATGTTACGCATTATGTCTAGAGATGATTTAAAGCTTACATGAGGGTGTGCAGACGCAGGTCCTGCCCCAGTGCATTGAAAAGCATCTGTGCACTGTGGTATCGCAGGAACCAGCCCCCTGAGGGGAGGAGTGGCGATTGTATCCTTAAAGGCACTGTTCCTCATCATACTCAGATATTGTCTATGTCTCTTGGAAACTTCCTGAAACTTATTTCCTTGTGTTTGCTTCTACCCGCAGGCAGCTTTTAGAGCCTTAAAATTAACTCTGCAGCTCATAGCCCCTCTCCATGACATCGTGGCCTACCTTTTCGGTTTCACCAAACTTGGCAATTGTCCATCATGCTTTGAGTTTCCTCTACGTTCCAACCCTTTGAGGGGCAACTGGGAAGACATCGGTAAGTGTTTAGTGGTGATTAAAATCACATTCAATATGCAGTGGAAGCTCTATGGGGCTCTTAACCCTCTTGAAAGATAGAGCTATAATATCTCCTCATAAATGACAGTGATTAGGGCAAAGGAAAATTTCCTGTTTCCAAACTGCATGTTTACCCGATTGATTCCACAAAGTGCACCAAGTCAGGAGGTCCAGGTTTGTATTTTGCATCTGCATTTTGGTTACCACAAGCTGAGGACCTCACATCCTGGGCCTCTGTTTGTGCTCCCATAAAATGGGGCTGCTAACATCCGTCTCACAGAGATGTTCTGTGAATTGAAATGTTTGTAAACATTCTAAAAGAATGTATATGGCCCCACTAAAGATAAGTTTTCTTTCGTGCCTTTCCTTCCTGGTCTTTTTTTAACTCACTTGGCAAGATCAAAGCCAAACATGCACAGTTAAAAGGCTTGCAAACAGTCCTTCTTTAGCTAATAACCACCTGAAGGTCCTGTGGTCAGAATGATTGAAACTTTACTCGCCTATCCCCACTGCTAATCAGTGAATATGAGCTGATCAATAGGTTATCAGAGCAGAGATATTGATCTTATTTTAGTAATTTGACTTCCTCCAAATTAAGTCAGCTTAATCAAGGAATAGCAAAAGACTATAACACGGTAGCCAGGGATTTTTAAGAATGAGAAGATCCTGAGAAATAAGAAATAGGCCTATTTTAATAAAGCCATTTTAAATGTGCTATCAACGGGATCTTGTCCCTCTGGCCAATGCATATGGGCAACATGTTTGTGAGAGACCCTGGAGGCGGTGGCCAGAAGACTTGCACTGTGCCAGCAGACCCAGAAGGAATCTGGAAACATTCTAGTGAGGTGGTAGAGAAGGACATGCGTGGTGATGTGGGGGGAAGGCGAAGCCCGTCTGAGGAGAGGCAGCATGCGATGGGCGGAGCCAATGCAGACCGTGGATGGGCAACACGACTAGTGAATACGGAAAAGGTTAGAGAAGACCGAAAGCACTTCTCGACTCTTTCCTCTCATAAACCCAGCAACTGTTGCCAATGAGATTTAGAAAATAAGACACTTAGGGGAGCTGCTGGAAGGATGCGGGGATTGAGCTTCGAGGACAGGTCACAAAAACTATCTTCCTGCCCTCAAGATGGGGAGGCAGGTGTTAGTTACATGGAGAAGAGACGGAAGCTGAGAACTTTTCCAAATGGAGTTGCTGCCTCAGTCCCCACGGCAGCTGGCAGCAAAGAGCACTTCGGCAGAGCTTCCCCGACTTGGGAAGGAGAGGACCCAGATCGGGGAAGAAAACGGGGACAAGAGAAGGACCTGTGAGGCGGCAGGCAGGGCTACTCACGGCCAACTCGCCAACGCGGCACTGACAATCAGTGGGAGATGAAGCCCAGGTGCCGGGGTCCCCGAACTCAGGGTGAAGGATGCTGTTTTCTGACTGTTTATATGCTCTACACCCGGAGTCATGGACATAAGTGGAACTCAGTCTTTCCAAGGTGTGCAATTAGAAATGCGCACCATGGTGTGGCTGTGAGTAAACACTTTCGTGCTCCTGGGAGAATGTACACGTTCTGATTCACTGAAAACAAGAGATAAAGATCGAACTGAACTAAAAACGAAACAAACAAATTAACAAACAAAAAAACTCTAAGCTAATCCTCTTTAAGGAAGGCAGACCCGCTTAGTTCTTGGTCTGATGTCCAGAGGAAGCAGGGAGAACTAAGTGAGAGATGAAATGGCAGAATTCCTTTAAGCCATTTCCGAGCTGCTTGGAGGTAGATAAAATGACTTTTATGGATTGAAATGCTGTAAAGATATTGCTAAAAGTACACGAGGATCTCAGCTTTTAGTCTTCCCACTTGACCAAAGGAAGCAGCCCTTCACCACCTTTCATCGACTCTGTGTACCCTGCCAAATTCACTCCTTCCCTGAAAGCCAGCAGCCAGCCACTCCCTTAGGAATCAGTGAGAACAGAGGATAGAATCAGAATGCGGGAGTCAAGGCTGAGATTCCTTTGTCAGGATCAGGAGGTCAGTTAAAGCCCAAATGCAACACAATGAGTTTAGAATTTCAGAAATTCATGACAAGATAGGAAACAAAGGGCACTGGATCTGTCGTGTGTGTGTGTGTGTGTGTGTGTGTGTGTGTGTGTGTGTGTGTGTGTGTGACAGGTCTCGTTATGTAGTTCAGCCTGGCCTTGAATTCACGCCAATCCTGCCTCAGCCTCCTGAGTGCTGGGATTACAGATCTATGCCACCACACCCGGCAAAGGGCACTGGACCTGAATCTGAATCTTCCCCTAGACAGGGCCAAGGCCACTGTGATTTCCCCCCACACCCCATCTTTGTCTCCTCCTGAACAAGACCCTCCTTGGTGGAAACCCAGAAATGTTCCTTTCCTGGTGTTTCCTGGGTGCACCAGGCCCTAGTCCCACCCCACTGCTACCTGGCAACCAGCCGCCCCATCCTCACGGCCAGGCTGCTTTACCTGCCCCCTCCACCACCTCCCTCCCACCAAACAATCCAACCCTACAAAGAAAGGAAAGCCAGAAAGAAGAGTTTTAAATTAGTGAATAATAGGGCCAGGGATTTAGCTCAGCGATGCTGCCACCTGCCCCTCAAACACAAGGTCCTGAGTTTGATCCGCAGTACCAAAACAAAAAAATAATGAATAACAAAGGAAGGGTAGTTCCCACTTCCAGAGCTGTGTTTTAATGACCATGCCATATATCGGCATATAACTATCTTGCTGAAAGAATGATCACTTGCAAAAATGTACGAATGGCAAAGTGATGAGTATGATGAAAAGAGGGAAACCACCTATAATCCAGCCGTTCTAACAACTGCAATACTTTTATCTTTACTCCCTTCTAGCCCTTGCCCAAATACACTTTACATTTATATTTTATGGCACTTTAGTCACAGGATATGTGCAACTTTATGTCCTCCTTTATTCATTATTGTTGCAGAATATTATAAACATTTTCCCCTCATTGCCACTTAGCCTGCAGAGCCTGGTGCTTGCCCCAGACACACCAGGCCTTAGACAAAACAAGGCCCAGTGGCCATTGTTCCTCCCACCAACAACCACAAAAATGTTTGTACAATTTGTTGTAATGTCACTCTTCTTTTGGTGGTGACACTTCAGCCCGAGGACCATCAGATTTAGAGAACTAATAACAAAATTTGATGATTGGACCCAGTTATTTGGGGGCTGAAAAAAACCCAAAACCACTATGCTGTTGCATATAAAATATCAAATACATAAACCGCATATCTTTTTGTAAAGCCAAGAATACCTGGAAAGAATCGGCATCTTTGCGAGGAGCAGCAAGCTTCTCAGCCCTGGATCTGCCCTGATGGAGCTCCCCTGGGCGGCTTCCTCACTCCCACAGTCCTCTGCTTTTCCTGGAAGGTAAATGCTAGAGAAGGCCCCGTTCTGGGCTAGGCAGGGGAGAGAGATGCTTGTGTCTGAATGAGCTTCCAAGACGGAGCAACTCCAGCGAGGCCCTGAGGATCGTCCTCCTCCTGCCTGCCTTGAGCTGCACATAGAGGGACAGTGATCGATTTCCAGAGTCCTTCCTCCCACACAGGGATGTCCTTTCAGGAGAGAAAGCTCCCACTGTCCTCACGGGAAAATGACAAGCATTTTCAACCACCTGACATTCTGGTAGCCCTGAAAGTGTGGGCCCACCCTGCTGCCTCCCTAAAAACTCATGACTTTTTGCTGTGCCCACTTTTTCTGCATGATCAGTTCCTTCCTTGCGCCAGTAATGGAGATCCTAGGACAGCCGTCCAGATGCAGGCCAGGTTCCTCCACCCAGCACTGAGTGTTGTAAAAGGCCTCTAAATTAAATGTTCATCTAAAGTTTGCACAATTTACTTATATAGAGCCTAATTTTGCAGCAAGTGTCCAAGAAATACAGCAAAAAGAGGTCTCCCATACCTATTCCAAAAAGGACTAGAGTCTCCCAGAAGGTTATGCACATATGTGTATCTGTACTGATGTGTACACACACTCACACACATACTTTTTTTTAACTTGCTTTGAATCATCTTTAGCCCATAGCCAGTGACATAAGGAAGGCTAATTAGGCTAGCATGGCAGTGAAAATGAGTGTGAGTTTATAATTTATAATTTGTAAATCCCTAATGGATACACTGAAAAATATACTTTCCTATTCCTTGTAATTTCTCTTTTTCAGTCTATTTTGAGACCATAACTTTGTAAATTAGAAAACTTTCTTTCAACATCATGTTCTTATTATGCTAAAAAGCTAATCAAGTTTTTATCTTCTTTAGGAAAGAAGGAATAAAAGATAAATCAGACCTTAGACTCTAGAGCATGAACTTCTGCTGCTCTTACAAAATATGTAATTAGTTCTGATGTAACCATCCACTCGTTTCCAGACTGCTTTTAGGATCTCTATGAATTTTCTTGGACAGAATAACTTATCTTATGAAAACAAAAAATATATAATTAGTACATCCACAAAGAAAGGGAACTCTGTCTAGGTGACAAGCTTCAGAGGTGAAATGCAGATTCCCTGGGCACACTAGACTCGCCTGTGTTTCACACCGTCTGGCTCAAATGTCCTCTTCTAGGCGCTGAGCTTCAAGAGCTACAGAAAATGCTTGACAGCCTCCAGGACCCACGTGACCCAGCCCAGGTGGCCCAGGCCCTCCTCCTCCGCCGGGAGGTTCTGTTTCTGCAGTTTGACGGTGCAGTGAGGCACCTCGTGCGGTAAGGGCTGGCGCTGTTTCCACCTCATCAGTTCTGCGGGGCAGGTGTTCAGAGGGACCATCTCAGGAGGCCACCCTTGGCAAAATTAGATAATGAGTTTAAAATGGTCAGGGCAGGGGGCCAGGGATTTAGCTCAGTGGTGCTGCCTCCTGCCTTGCAAGCACAAGGTCCTGAGTACAAGACCCGGTACCATTCACACACACCAAAAGTCAGGGGACAGGGGCTGGGGATTTAGCTCAGTGGTTCCACTGCCTGCCTCACAAGCACAAGGACCAGAGTTCAAACCCCAGTACCAAAAAAAAAAAAAAAAAAAAAAAGTCAGGGCGCAGCTGGACCTGGAAGGTCAGTTACCAAACTGTCCAGCTGTCTATATATCATTCACAGTATTAAATGCAATTCCAAAATCAATTGTGTAATAATTTCTGCTTTCAATATCCAGGTGTTTTATAACAGTAAACATTTTATGACACTGAAGATTACTATTACTAAGAATTTTTTCTCAAATTTTTATTTACCTTTCAAAGGGACAGACTTTTCACAGCATTTCTAAGGTTTGTGAAACTGGCTACTGGAATTAAATTTATAAATAAGTAAATCTAACTCTGGCCTGGCAGGAACCAACTATTAAGTATTCTTCCTATGCAAAAATGTTTTGTTTAGCTAATCAATCATGACTCCAATATGATTTTGATTGAGTTTGAATTAAGGTTCACACTGTTCCCAAGATAAATTTTACATGGGAGTGGAGTTGAGTCAGGCCTAAATACCTCTTAAATTGCTTGTTCTTAAATTGTCAACATTCGGCTTCTTTTGATTAAGTCATAGTGTGAGTATTTAGTCAATGAGGGACCTCAGATGCCTATGGTTAATGACTGTTAACTCACCATTATCTTTGAGTGTCTATAGAGAATGAATGAACTATATTTTTCTCTTTCTGACTCTCCATTTTCTTTACCCTGTCAGGGTACTGTTGGATTTAGAATTTAAATTTAGCAGGACGACAAAAAAAAAAACAATTGATGCTAATCTATTTTCTTTTTATTGACAAATAGCTTCCTATTTGTCAAGCAGGTGGGACATAAAGGCTATAATTTATATATTTTTCTATATCTATGAAGTTTATATTCCTATATATAGAAAATGTATATATAGTTTTAATATATATTTAATGATATAGTACATATTTTTAATTTTATAAATTTAAAAAATTTTATTCATGCATATTTGCAGTATATGATTATATTTATTGTGGGGAGTCGGCACATATATGCAACACATATTAATTCTATTTCCTCTTTTCCTCCTTCTGCCCCTCCCCCATCTCTTGGTCCTCTTCCTGTTTGCAAAGACCTATCTCGCTGTTTCCTATTACTGCCCTTTAAATTATGTTTTACTTTGGGCTTCTCATAGAACCCATGCAACATGTAAGCTTGTGTGTCTGATTCATTTCATTTCACATTACTACAGAAAGGCCCTAATTGTCATGATGGCTATTCCACTTGCCTCTGGGCTCTGGCAGCCCAAGGTCAGAACTTACAAAGAATTGATAGGTAGTGAACAAACAGGGATGGCTCCTAGAAGTGCTATCCTAGAAGGGATAGCTCCTAGAACCTCCTAGAGTTCCAGCCATGCCAGATTCAGTCCAGTACTGTTTTCCCAGCAGCACCCCTCTGCTTGCCCCCAACTTCTTGCTTTTCCAGGGTTACTGTGTGCATCTGCAGGAATGGAGAGTACTGTGTACTCTATCTGCCTTCATTTTCTTTTCCAATCACCCAGGTGGCTTGGCCCCATGAGTCCTGCATTTATTGCATTTCCCTGGCGCCCTCTCTCTCTCTCTCTCTCTCTCTCTCTCTCTCTCTCTCTCTCCTTCTCCCTTTCCCTCTCCAGGGCTCTTAGTGTTAGTGTATGTAGAACCGTACAACTAGTGAGCACCAAACTAGAATTAAAACCTAAGAATGTTTAGCTCCAAAGCCTGAGGAGAACTACAAGGGATTCTGAGCAGCAGCATAGTTAGAGAAGAGGACTCTGAAGAGAAGGCAGGAGGCAGGAAGAAAAGAGAAGCTGAAAGATAAATAAATGTCACCCCTCTTAATAATTTTATCTAGTGTAGAAACTGCAAACAAGGGAAAGTCCTCCAACAGTCAAAGTAGATAGAAAGCTTGAGAAAGGTCCCTGGCCCTTCCCAGAGCTCGGAGAGACTGAGCAAATGTGACTGTTTACTCTATGAAACATTTTGCTTATACAAGAGGGAGGCTTCACCAGAGTTTGAAACAAAAGAACTGAACACTTACCCAGAATAAGGACAGCATGCTTCCGTAGACTGAGGGGAGAGAAGGGAGGATGGGGCTCAAAGACAAAAAGACCGTAGCCCTGTGGAGTCACCTTAAAATCTGGCTCCTGTTTTCTGTGACATGGATCAGATCATGCTGCCTTATAGGCATAGAACAGTGCACACTATCCCTGTCCACTTGGCATTTGCCAGGCTGGGCAAAGGCCTGATGGACAATGGTTCTGTTCTCTAGTGAGTTGGAGTCACACTGTCCACTCACTGTTCCCTCTCATTTACCTTTGGTATGTTCACCAACCTACAGGAGACATTTATTGTCTAATTCTAGAAAGGCTTGAGAGCTGTGCTTATCTGTGATGCTTGGTGAATTAAACATCCTTGTTCAAGATAAATACCTGGGCATCCTGGTGGTTCTAACCAGTCTGATCTACTTGAGTTAGGAAGTGGCAAACTGCTGCTCTGAGTTCCTTCCTGTTTTGGTATGGCTTCTTGCCTAAGGATGGCCTTTGCTTGTTTAAATGGCTGGGAAAAAAATCAGCCACCAAAACATATGTTGTGATACACGAAAATTACATGGATGTCATATTTCAGTGTCTATAAATGAAGTTTTCCTGGAACAAAACCACACTCATTTATTTATGGATTGTCTCCGAAAGCTGTACCTCTAGAACCAGAGAGTTGAACCAGAAACATTTTACTATCTGGCCCTTTAAACAAAAGCTTGCCATCCCTTGATTTAAAAGAGAATTCCTTTGCAATTCAGGAATAAAAGAAGGAAAAGAGCAAAGTCTTTAAGAAGTACCCTGAAGAACTGAACAAATTGTATGGCATAAAAAGTGTCTCTAGTCAGCATACACTGCTGACATTCAGGGTGATTTGGGTAAGAAGGGGAAAAAATGGTAAGTTGTACTGTTTCCTGCAGCAAGTCTGATATTGGAGGATTTTAAGAGCTTATAAGGGTAACACCAGCCTCTCGCGTCTTTACTATTTCTTAATTTCCCTTCATCTTAAAATTCTTTCTTATTTTCTTTTTTCTTCGTCCTTTCTTTTTTCTTTCAGTACCAGGGATCAAACTCAGGACTTTGTATTTGCAAGGCAGTCACGGTGCCACTGAGCTAAATCCCTGGCCCAATTCTTTCTCATTTTCATGCTTATTTACTGCCTTAGTTATTTTTCTTATTGCTGAGACGAAATACCCGACACCCAAAGTTAAAGGAGAAAAGGTTTTTTTTGGCTCACAGTGTGTATAAGTTTCAGTTCATAGTTGTCTGACCCCAAAGCAGGGTGACATGGCCAAGAAGCATGTCAGAGGGGCATAGTGGAGGAAAAACAGTTCATGGAGGCAGAAGGCAGGAGACAGTGAGCAACAAAGCAACAAGCAGCAGGCAGCAAGCAACAATAGCAGCTTTCTATTTTATATTCTGTCCAAGGCTACCCACCTTTGCAGTGACTAGCACTCACACCCAGGGTGGGGTATTCTTAATGCTAGCTAGCATCAAATCATGAATAAATCCCAGCATCACATCCCACCCTTAATCTTAGTACCACACACCTAGATGCAGCCACCTCCGAAAAGTCCCACCTGTGACCACAGGAGGCTTTGGGAGGACATCTAGATACAAGCCATAATACCAACAAAAGTGTCTCTAAACACTCAGATGTTAAAGTATGCTTCAGGGTCATCTGGGGGTTTCTGGGAGACATTGAGAAGACCTCATTTGAGAGCTGGACCTACTCATGGTTACTGCCTCTATCTCTATTATCTGAGAGCCACAACTGTGCCTGTCTGGCTCAGGACTATTCATCAGATTTTATTTTATCCCTGCCCCCAGGAAAAATGCCAAGGCCCAGCCCATGGACCTGCAGTCTCAACCAGCTTGCCTGCTATCGTGCTGTGAGCATGGTCATCACACATGAGAGGGCTGGCCACCTAGGAAACCATGATTGCTTATTGATATTATCCTTAAGCTGCTGGAGTCTGGCAGGAAGGTAGAAAATTCAGGTATTTGGCAGGCTGCTGACTTTACTAAGGCCTGGAAAGTGGTGGGTACCACATGAACACAAGGCAGCCTTTCTGTCGCATCTGGAGTGCTGCTGGAAAACTGCACTGGTGAGACATACTCCAGAAGGGACAGGCCAGGGTCTGCCAGCTAAGGGTTGGAGTGAGCTGTCAGGGTACCAGTTAACCTGGGTCCTTTCATTAGTAGAAATGGAAATTAAAACTAAAGCACAAATTTATGGGGAGGGGAACTTTAATTGGAAAGTTAGAGGTAAGATAGGAAAAGACCCCAGCTTTTGTAGCCAGAGGGGAGACACTGATATAGGGGTTCTGTCTGCCCACCTGCAAAGGCAGAGGCCAGGTTTTCAAGCTCAGCTGTTTGATTATTACCTCAGTCTTGGTGTCTTAGCTCTAAACTCTTTTGGCTGAGGAGTGACCCAGTTTTCAGGAAAAGATTCCATCTGTCTGTGGTGGTCTCAGTAAGTTGGAGTTCTTCCTTTCCTGGCATCCAGGTGATCACATGTTTAGGACAATGGCTGGAGACTTCTAGACGTACTTGAATGTTCCTGGGAGTCCCCCATCCTGGTGTCTTCAGTCTTGAAGAGGAGCCGATTATGTTAATTCAGGGTTAATCAACCTCATTTTGCCAACTCTTAGGCTTTCCCTACATGGCTGGCATACTATATACAGAAGTTAAGAAAGGATTTGTCCCAA